TGGTACAGACACGTCCAGCTACACCGCGACTTAGCCCAGAACGCTTTGTTGACATAAAGCTAGTTAAAATACAATCAAGTAGCATATAGGCTACAATACTTTGCACTATTGTGTAGATACTAGATTACCTGAGTTAATAGGGAGTGGGAGTAATGAAAAATACGGTTAATCCAATATAGTATAAAACAGAATGATGACAAACCCATTAAAACGCTGTAAACAGCCATTAACGATTTGCATTCTTATAAACGAAATTCAATATTACACAATCATTATTATTGTGCAATAACATTATTATTTTAAAAATGTTCAAATCATTTATCTTGGTTCAGGTGTACAAACGGCAACGTTTAAAATTATAGCTAACTCAAACTCAACTAATAACTAGTCAAACACTGCATTGCTATAAATAACGTAAATATTAAAGGAACCTTTAGAAAGTGTTATAAGGTACTGCTCATGATGGACATATAGGCTACCGAGGTGCTGTATCACAGCATAGGAATTGACAGATAAGTAGGCCTGATAAAAAAGTGTAAAATTATATTTAGAGATAACTAAAACACTCTAAAAAAGAATGTAACGAGAACAATGTTGTTATTCTTTTTCTTTGTTCTTCTTTTCTTTAATAGGCTTCTCTTCAATTCATACACAAATTCAACAAGTCGCCATATTTAGGCCTACTCATTGGCCTATCACAGCCTTACTAAAGTTACCATGGTTACTAATCACTCAATCACAGTTTACTAAGCATTATATTGTCATCATTCCTCAGCTGTTGTACAGTATCTGAAATCTGTTGTAACATAGCGCACAGCAGACAAAAGTGTAAAGTAAAACGGAGCAGACGATTGTTGGCGCAAGCGTTGTTTCCATTTCATTTTCATCAAAGGAGCTGTGATGTTTCTAAAGGGAGAGGGGATCGTTATATCAAGAGAAAGACGCTGACAATTCGTTAAGAAGAGGTTACGAACGCTATATGGATATTCTGGCAATAAAAAATCCTTAAATTGAGGTGACTTATAAAACTCTAATTTTATTTATATAGAAAGATAAGTTTTCCAGTCCTGTACAACACTGATTCACGGTCTTTTCCCGGTAATCAAAATTCAAGTACAACTTGATACACACAGAATCTCCGGTTCCCGACCTGGATGATGGCTAGTTATTTAATTTAATTTACAGTTACATATTAGTACCCGTGATAAATCAAACCCGTTATGTAAGCCAAAGCCACACGGTTATTAATCTCACTTGGTTTTGGATTTGCTTACAAACGTGATCGGAAATGGTTAGGGCCTACACAGTATTCATAAACAACATTTATGTAAACATATCAGTGACAGCTAGAAAAAGGAATGTTTATCAAAACAGCTGTTCGTAATTTCATATATGACGTCTTCTCTTAACAGATTACAAGCTGCTATACCCGTGCTTTGCAACGGGAAGAAAATGTGACCTAGAGAGCTATTAAATTGGTGCTGATGTGTGTTTTAAAATACAGCAACTCTATGATTTAGTTTGAAAATAAAACTGATTTAAAAGCGTAAACCTACTTACTTTCAAACCCCTACTTTTGATGTTAATAGATCCCTAAGAATATGACAACATACCTTAGTGTAGTAATAGCATCAATTATTGCTTCATATTGATGCTTCATGAATGACATGTTTTACCATTTTCTTCAATTTTAGTCAAGCCTCTTCCCATGTAGTTTACTATATAAATTAAGAAATGAAATTTTGAGCAATACTTTACAAAACATGTACAGCCTCACTTTAAAACCAAATATAACCCTCCTCAATCTACATAAAGCAAAACAAACATCTTATTCGAGTAAATAAACAAACAGTTCATTGTATTGTACTGACCAGCTGTTTCATTAACTAAATTAATTTAAATCATTTAAACATTGGAAGCATGCCAGGCGTAGCCCTTTGGAAATCAGCCTGTGGGGCAGAGCCCTTAGGAAATTCGTCCATATCAATACTTTTCGGCATATCTACACACTCTAAGCTTCATTTTGATGTGCCATATGCCTATATTTTTATTTGGTAAATGACCTTAACCGTTTACATAAAATTTGATTGTATCGCTTTAATAATATAATAGATTAGTATTTCATAAATGACGTATGTAGTAAACATGGAGAAAATAAACTAGAAAAATCACACACAATTGGGATTTTGATCGTCCGTTATTTTATTTAAAAAATTATGAAGCCATATTTTAATGGCTATAAGGACACTCTCGCCAATCCTGTGGATACAATTAAACCATTATAATCATAATCGGTACTCTAGTTTTCTTTAGAGTAGGCGTAAGATGCCTTCTGGGCCGTGACAGACGGACATAATTTGATATAAGACATATTTCAACTTCTTCAATGTATAAAACGTAAAAATAGCCCAAAATATGAATAATTCTGAGCAATGTACAGACAAAACTATAACTTTATTTATATAGATTGGTTTGAATTTTGAATATCTAAAAAAATTATAAAACTTCTTTTGTAGTTTTACAACTAGTGCTGGGTGGGGAAATAATGTTTTTCATTAGTTGTGTACTTCATTTATTTTGGGGGGGGCTGTTGCTCAATTGGGGGGGGGGGTGCGTCATGAGTCTAGGGGGGGATGGGCACCCCTGTTATACTGCCTTCCGTGTGCTTGCGTCTGTCACTGATGTCCACTTGTTTGAAGCTGCTGCACACATACCTGTGATATTTTCTTGGTTTGGGCCTGTTTGTTTTGAATTTTAATTTTTATTCATAATGCTTTGTTTGATTTACATTGACTATGGTTATTGGACTAACTTATATTAGGCTAACTAAATGGTTGAAGCAGGAAATACATTTTGAGATTGTAGGCCTATTACAAGTTTTTTATGAGCAGAAAAATGTTTTTGTGACAAACGAATTATAGGACGCAAAACATAGTACGAAGGTCGTAGCCACTGGGTGACAGTCACCATGTGCGAAGGAACAAGCATGGCTGCAACTTAAACATGACTGTGGCTGCCATTCAGAGGCTGCAACCTATAGTGGAATAGATTACAGAATAGGACCGAAACCAGTTCGAGTCGGGTGGGGTGAGGGCAAGCGGCATCCAATTAGCTTTCAGAAAACTGTCCACTGTTGCCAAGTTGTGCCACGCACTCAGTCTTTGCCCGACAGCCGACCTGTGCGTTTCGAGTATATCCTCTTGTTTCGTCAAGAAGAAATTGCCTTAAAGTGTGCTTATAATTCTTAACAGGCCGGTAACAAAGCTACACAAGGCATCTTACTCCATTTTACACTCATCCTTCACTCATATTTAGGTCAAAATATGCACCTAGGTGGCGTCTCCATCTCAAATGAATAATTAATATGGAAGATTGTATCCTCTTCATTTCCATGTTAATTTTGATTCATGCTTCAAACAATAAGCTGAGCAATATTTTAGAAGATTTTTAGAACTGCTATACAAATTGTTTGGTCATATAAATTTACTGTCATTGTTAAGGTGATTTATTGATTCAAATTATACTTAATAATTTTATGTTTATACTAGCAGAGTACCCGTCCTTCGTACGGGATTGGCATATAAGTATAAAATGCTTAGTACAGTTATACTCAAGCTTTACGTTTGCAATGGGGCAGGACACAGTTTGATAAAATTTGCTTTCTTTAAATTTAACATTACTATAGCATTACACATCTAACATAGCCATAATGTTCTACCACTTCACCCAAACAATAGAAAAAATAAATTATTAAATATTCGCAAAATATAACAAATTATACGTGAAATTAAAAACATAAACATAACTGTAAAGAGAACAGTTCTCATCGTGTTTTTTGTTGCTGCTTAAAATTAGTTTAAATTAGCTGTTTTAATAAAGGTAAAAAATAATAGTGCTGCACTCTGTTGGTAAATCTTATAACTTTTAATGCTTTTGCATGTCATAGAACCAACCTTTTTAGTTGAAACAGCTGACTAAATTCTTAAATTCCATTTAAATATGAGTACTCATAAGGTTAACATGGGGATCTACAGAGCCACTGGAGCGGAGCCCGAAAGGATTTTTGAGATAAGAATATGCCTATATGTTAATCGGGAGTGTAAGCTATCATCATGCCAAATTTCAGCGCAATCCGTCCAGTAATTAATGCGTGATTGAATTTCAAACAAACAAACAAACAAACACACAAACTTTCACATTAATATTAGTAAGAATATTTTTCAAAAAAACTGCATCTGGTAGCTGTTTGAGCCATTTTAAAGATCATTGTGTAGCAAATAATCAAACCATAGGCTAATAATGTATGGGGTGCATTTTATGTTCCATACGATATAAAAATACTAACTTGATTCCACCAAGAAAAAATAAATTATTAATTTGTAGCGTTGAAGTACCCTAAGTGGGAAGATAGAGTAAGGGGGATGCCAGGCTCTAGGTGAAAGTCAGCTCACCAGCCAAGAACGATGTGGCAACGTTCGACTATAGTAAGAAGGCGGCCCAATAGCACAGGCAATCCGTATCCGACTAAAAGTGCTAAAATTTCACCATTTTTTGTGAATATCTCAGAACGCTCAAGAAATATTTGTTGGACGAATTCAGATTCGTATTCAGCGCCCCAAAAAAACATAAATTTCTGAAAAATTCCTTGGACACCATTTTTGTCCACGTATGGTTGATTTTTACAACGGATTGACTGGACTACAAAGCAAGAAGTGAACATTATTGGTCAAATTACTGGCAGATGATGTAAACCCCTTGACATTGCTGCAATGAACTTAGGCCCTACAGTCCGTCGTTCTTCTGACTGAGCCACTGACTCACCAGGACCAATGTTTCCTTATGGCATGCTGAAGCCCTTGGCCTATGCATGGATATTGGATACAAAAGAGGATTTAAATACAATAGGTTATACAAAAATTGAAAAAAATTAAAATTTCTTTTGGCTTGAAACAAAGAAACTGGTTTTTTTGGTAGCTAACCAATATTTTTTTCAGGTGATATTTGTGTGGAATATGGGATGTTGTTTGGAAAGAAACAGTGACATCTCCAATTCTTAGTTCAACTTTGAAACCATCAGAGGACGCTATGAGCTACGATTTTAAAGAAAGCCAGGCTACATTTAAATATTTGGTAAGTGTATATACCCAGAATTATTTGGATTTTCTTATTTATAGATTACTGTACTAAAAATTGGTTACTATAAATGGTTATGTCCCCCTCTTTAGAGTTATTGTGTCAAGGCCTGTAAACTTACTAGAATTAATTGCTCATTGGATAAAAAGAATCTAAAGAATCTAAAAAGGTACCGTCATACAGTTTGAAGCTAAGGGTATCAATACATAAATTTGACTTATTGTCGGCCATTTAACTATACACAAAGGGTAGCCCATTGACACGTAAGTGTGACGTATGCGTTCCAAGAAACCGACTTGAAAGAACACAAAGAAACACACTTCGACCCAACAAAGTCAGCCATCACATGGCAACTAATCGCTAAGAGCACTGCTGGAAGAAGGGTAGCGTCGGTGGAGGGGGTAGGGAGTGAGACGCTAAAAATAGCTCGCCCTACGTCAAATTTACGTGCAATACCCGTCTAGGGTTAAGTTAACTCTAGAAGGATTTCCCTTTTATACATTCTTAAGCCTTGTTCTCACGACGTAGGGTTTGTTGAGTCTCCCATAACCTTGATCAGTGGCTTGTCCTATGTGTCGTGATAACAACCCGTCAGTGACTTGTGCATCTAGCTTGTGATCTCTATCCGTTCCCGCCTATAGTCAGTAAACTAATGAAACATCAAACACTTGTGTTAGCACGACGAGCCGAGCGTTTGAAGTGCATTTGGAAGATTGTGCTGTGTAGTTTGGTTTAGTGAACGGTTTTAAAAATGGAGTACGGAGCAATGAAGCTGTGACAGTAGCATTTTTTTTTTTATAGAAAAATAATTGAAATGTTTTCTATCAAATTCATATTTTAAATAAATTTTCAATGAAGTTTACCAATGCATTTTTTGTAGGTAGCTGGTTTTCTGCTAACACTATTAACTTCAGGTTTCTGCAAATGGTTTTAGGTTGACACATAAAAGACTTTGCAAGAAAACAGTTAAAATTTATTTGGATATTTTATACTCATATAAATTAGGCTAATCTGATTTATACTACCAGTACTTGGGAACCGAACTTTGCTCGGAAAAATCATAAGTAGCCTATACTCTGAGAGCAGTCTTTCATCAATGGCAAATGTTGAGCCAGCGATTCGTCGACACTCCTGCTCAAGATAACGCCCCTGTTCCTGTTGTTCATCTTATTGCTCGGCCATAAGATTTGAAATTATTTCTCTACTTTCATTCTTCGATGCGCGACTTGGCTGAGGTTCTGAGACATTTTGTGAGATGTATGAGCTGGTTGGAACTGGGTCGGTTGTAGACAAAGTAGTAAAGACTGTTTCTTGACAATCGATTGTCATAACACTCTATGTTAAATTAACCTCTATAATACAAATATCAACTATTTCTATTCAAACAACCTCAAAAAGACACTTTTTTCAATTCACAAGGCAACTCCGAACCTCTATGAAACATCGATTTGATAAGTCAACCTTGATAACACGACTCTACATAACTGTATAAAACAGTTCCCACAGGAATTTGTCAGAACGGATGTTCTGGAGGAAACAACGACATTCCAACTAGCGATAAGATAACCCTTCTCCATGCGAACTTACCGCACTCCTATTTTTCAGAACATCATTCATCCCCGACAGATCAGTGCATTATTCATTGCGCTTTATTGTATAATTGATTATCGTTGTTTCGTCTCAAGTCTAGTATTTTTTTTGGCTTGTGAGCTGCAAATGTTTTGTGTGTCTGTTGTGTTTTAATCATGTCTAAAAACTTAAACTAAATTTACTAACAGTAGAATTTAAAAGAAAAGTGATTAAACACCTTGAAGAAAATCCTAACAAAAAGAAAGCTGAAATTGCTAGGGAGTTTAATATTCCATCAATATAATTTTGAAAAATAAAGAAAAGTTTGAAGAGGGAAAAGGAGTTGGTAAAACATGTAAACGTGTGAAAAAAGGCAAATTTGAAAACTTTGAGGAGTGTTTAGTTAAAGGGCTTTATGACAACATTTAGTTAAGCAATCCCATGATAAGAACTTGCCGATACAGTAGACTCTCGTTCATCAGGACTAATGTGAGCAGACGAATCAGGATCGGGAAGATGATTCCTCTACCAAAAATGTTATGATGACGCCGGTTGATAACCCCAAGAAAGCAGATTTTGACCATGAACCATTACCCTGTGTTTGGAGTATTGAGAAGACATCTGTGAATGGAAATAATGTAATATCCAGTGACTCTTTCCCCGAAGTGAGTGCTTCTAACTCCATCAGTAACCCATGGAGGACAGTTAGGCACAAGAAGAGAACTAATGTGCAAAATAGGTCTAATCCTAACCTAGAAAATGGAAGGCCAGAACGAATGAATCAAGAAACTGTTACTAAACCTAAAGGAAATGGCAGGCCCACCCGGAAAGTATTAACTGGCACAGGTAAGTTGACTAACAGTAATGACAGTTCTAACCTGAAGGCAGTGAAAAGGACTAAATTTATTTTTGTTTCGAGACTTCAACCTTCGGTCGAAAAGGCCGATGTCGTAAACCATCTTACATTCTTCAAAAGTGGCGATTATGTTGTTGAAAAGTATCCAACCTATAACTCCTTCAAAGTTGGTGTTCCAGAATCGCTATGGGATAGCATTTTTTGTGAGGACTTTTGGTTGGAAAACACTTTCATCAGTGAATTCAAACTACCAAGGCGCAATTTAAACTCTCAACGCACGGCCGAGACTGGGGCAAACATAGCCTAAACCCAGTAAATGATAACCTTAATGTCTTGTTTCATAATGTGCAGGGGTTACATTCCAAGGAAAACATCTTAGGCCTACATGCTGTGAGTAATCAGTATGACTTTCTCTGCCTTAGCGAGCATTGGTTGAACCCAAACGAGGCAGGTTATGTTATCATTGAGGGTTATGAGCTTTTATCGATATTTTGTCATAAAACCCATATAAGAGGTGGCGTCGCAATATTCGCCAATAATAGCAAGCCATAACTGAAAGTGGTGGAAGTAAGCTCGTTGGAAAGTCTACACAATGCCATTTTTTCTAGTCACAGAGCAGTGGTCGCCTGAGCTACGTGAGGTTGTTATGGAGTTGTTTTTAAAAAGTATTGAATTCATTCATTGCAACTCAGCAGCATAGGCAGTTTCGTGCGTTCTTTCAATTAACACTACTATACACTAGTATACCAACTATACTCATCCCTCAGTAACAGAGTAGTAGAGATATGGCCGCAATCACAAAGAGTCATGAAAGCTGAGATAATCGCAGGAGATTATCGCTGATGTTGCAACGATTGTGTAAGACGCATATAACGTGATTGCAATTATAATGGCGTTGCCACCAACGATCACACATCTTAGTGACGGCCTTTTAGTGAATTTCCTATAAAGGGTATAAGCTATTACCGTAGTACTCATGGTAATACCTCTGGACCCAGGATGGCTAGGTGTATAAAAGAAGGTGTGTGCACGCACATCCCCCACCCCTCCAATCAGCCAATCAAGTATTTACTGCTTTACTGTTTTTCGGTTAAATGGTACCATATAACTGTACAATATAACTAACTGTAGTAGTGTTATATTAAGTATAACACTACTACAGTATATTCATTCAATGTTGAATACAACGCTATATTGAATATATAAAACTAAATAGTGTTATATATTCAATGCTGATTCCTAATGATTGTCATTCGAAAGTCTTTGGAAAATTACAAGAAAACATATGATTTGTTAAAATAAAATAATGGGTGATGGTGGGGTGGTAGCGGAGTGGGGGAAGAGCCATATTCTGTCTCACTCCCACAGCTCGGTATCTCTCTCTCGCACCAATGCTACGAGGAGGACGCTTTCTAAGCGGCCGACCTATAGTAGGGGTTTCTTTGCTCTGTGCCATTGAAAAAAAAACATTTTGTAGATTTTTTCCAGTTCTGATCAAACCAAACTCCTGCTTGGAAGTTGTCAAGTGTGCTTCAACCCTTAACTATCTGTCCTAAACCAGCCATGGCATATAGTCCAATCGATGATACTATAAAATACCCACGCCGCAGCAAACCTGCAGACTAAGCAAATTTCCATGTTTAAATGAGTACCTAGGTTTGCTGCTACAAGGAGGGTAATAAAGTGTGTTTTTTGGTAAAATATTAGTAGCCTAGTATAAAGTAAATAAATTTGCCAAGTTTGATTGCCAAAATATATTCATAAACAAGAAAACTACACAACAGTTTACTTATTCTCTATAAGAATAAGGCCCGTCACACACTGCATCTGGTCCGGTAAAATCGGATCCGGTGTTTTTCACCGGATCCGGCAAATCTCCACACACTGCATCAGCCGTTCCAGTTCCGGTGAACAGTCTGAGTCTATGTGAGACAGACAGCGGTATTGTGAGTTGAAGAAGTTTTTAACCAACAACATACAGTAGTTAGTTTTAACCAAATTTCCCTAAAGCAATGAATGACAGTGACAGTGAAGAAGAGATCTTCGTAGTTGTAGCAGCTCTTGCTTAAATGTCCTTGTGGCCTAGGTCGTGTAGCACAGGGTACGCCTGTACTAGCACAATCAGTTTCTCTTCCAATGACATTTTGTAACAAGTCGTACAGAGTAAACAATTACCACAAAACCACGTCTGCTGCTACTGTGAGTGCCCACTGTCACTGTCACGAGGTGAGTATAAGTCGTCTGCGCATGCGCGAGCTCTCTGGCGCTGGAAGCTTGCCTGAAGCCTATCGCTTCTCGACCGAAATAATTTTACCGGACCGCACCTGATGCACCGGACCGGATGCAGTGTGGGGACTTCCATTTGAATTAATGGTTTTCAAATTTACCTGATCCGATTTTACCGAACCGGACGCAGTGTGTGACAAGCCTAACATGGGAATTTAAAATTTAAGAATTTTCTTTGTAAACAATAACCATACAAAAACACTTCAATATACTAAGTTATTTGTTTTTTGTAAGCTCTTCAAAATAGTTTAGAGAGAATTTAGGAAATGTAATGTTTCGAGGGTAA